GCTTGGTAATAGGGAGGAGAGAAAAGGAGGCAATGGTTAGTCTTGCGCTTGATAGTCCACTTTCCACCCCCTCCTCTATTCGCCTGAAATGAGTACAAGTTGAAGAAGAAAATCGGAAAAAGTGCGTGAGAATTGACCGCCAATCAATCAACTGAACGACTTTGAATAACAAAAGTACAGACAAGATTTTTGAGAAGGGTTAACAAACGGATTGTAGAAATCCAATCACTGCGTTCTATCAATCACTTTCTTGGAACCTTTGAGAACAGCCTGCAACACAAAGGATGCGAGAATAGACGCGATTCCATTCAAATGTAGTAGACCCAATGAAGATCTACATTAAGCCAGCGGTCGCCACGATGTTGGCCCAGCCATGTGTGACGCTTAGGGCTTCCGGGGATTCCGGAACCCATTCATGAACGGAGCTGAAAACTCCCGAGTTCCAGACTCCAGAATGCGGGTGGAAGGACAGGACACAGAAAAACGAACTAAAAGCCAGCGGATGAACTTTATCTGTCATCAGCCCGTTTTTTCAGCGCAGAGAGCAAACTACCTCCCTAGAAGCCAAAATAAATGCAAATTTCGTGGTCTCAAGATTCAATAAGTGGTAACACGACTTCCTCTTCAAGATGCGCATAGCCGGTGCATCGCTAAATACCAAAGTTTTGTCTTATGTCTTCTAATTGTGAGGTGAGAGCTGGTGATGAAACTTGACGATCTCAACTCAAGGAGCTTTTTGAGGATAAAGAAAATAAAAGGTCTCCCAGGCTTATTCAATGCTCTTGAATACTCCAAAATGTGCCCTGGACTTCATTTGACAATGGGCCAATGGCTCACAATCCGCCAGCCTAATGGGCTCTTAAGATAATTTCCCACAAAACCAGAAGCCGTATTGTTTAAGACTTCCAGCAAGCCCATTCAAGGCGAACCGTAAAGCCTTTTACCCGCATATTCAAGTGCAAGAGGCACCAACAATCGACAGAGAGACAGAGCTTGAGATATGCTGATGTAAAACAGTTTGAGCTTCAAAACATGGATCTAGAAGCACGAACCAGTGGAAATGACTATAAATCTAAGAGAAGTAAGCAGAGAAGGGTACCGAAAAGAGTCGGAAGATGGCACGACCTCGCGAAGCGACCATTGTTAGTAGGGTTTCAAAAGACGCTCCATCCGAAGTCTCCGAGTAGGGCATGCAGAGGGCAAATGTGAAGAAATCAAGAAGGCCAGAGATGACCAGTGAACCAGTACCGCGGAGCTGCATATAATGAAGTGAGGGAAAACACGTAATTAAATTTGTTTTAGTGTCGATAACTATTGCTTAACCCATTCATTCGCATCATTTAAGCAACTGTCTGAAGATGCCAGATGTCTCTCCACAGCAGTGCAACGCCGTGAGCCTTTAAAGGCGGATATTGGCGGGTTCAAATTTTGCGATTGCTTCTCCTTAGCCACACATACTTACACACATTCGTACACCTGCTCGTCACTAATATTGGCCGACACCTTGACCAACGATGCCCTAAGACTGATGCTCAGTTCCAAGTCAGGAGAACAATAGTAAAATTTGTGCTGCACTTTAGACACCCACGCACAATTCGAAAGACCCATATATCCCCTAACTGATGTGTCCACCTTCGCTGGCGTTCAAAAGCA